GACCCAGCCAACCCCCTGAAATATACTTTCTTCTTCTTTTCTTCCCTTCAACGTCTCACAGATCCAATTAAAAGTAGTGATCAGATCACCACCCCCTATCCTTTTTGGAAACTCTGTGTGTGTGTGTGTGTGTGTGTGTGTGTGTGTCTGGATGGCAACATACATGTTTACACCATGTGAATACATAAAGAGGGCACTGCAATCAACTACAAAAACTGAGCCCTGTTTATATTGAAAATAAAATACCTGCAATGGAAAAAATGTGATGTTGACATACAAAGCACTTTGTATCCATCCCTTCCTGTAATTTGGAAGGGAAATGCAGCCAATCCACTTTAAATTCTTTAATTGCAATGGTTTAGCAGCCAGCAATTTTTAAGCAAACTTGTGGAGTATCTATTCTTTTATTTTATTCTTTGGAGCCTTAAATTGCAAACCTTTACTACTCAGAAGTAAGACCCACTGAATTCAATGGAGCTTACTCACAGGTAAATGTGTAAAGATTATTGCAGTCTTATACTGCAATCTTAAGCATTTTTACTCAGAAGTAAGTGGCCAATCATTATGTGTTTCCATTGCCCTCATCATCATTATATTTAATAATATAGTATGTTTGCTGGGGGGTGGGGTTGCCAAATTGAGTCTTAGACCTCGGTGAAAGAAAGCCTAGTTTCACCTCTGGCACATGCACATGAGAAGAAACTCATAAGTCACTTACTCTCAGCAGCAAGAAACTATACACTGGAACGACCTATCAGGAGTGAACACAACCAATACACTGGACCCTCGCGTTACGTTACCTTTGGGTAACGTAACTTTCAGGTTGTGAACGCAGCAAGCCTATATGAATTGAAAGTGGAGACATGTCCTTTCCCATTTATTTCTTTGTTTTGTAACACCAGAAAATATTTAATAAAAAGCTAATTGAAAAAGATATCTGCAGAGAGGCCCATCACCTCTTGATCCACAGAACAGATGAGACAGCTAAGAACCACTTGAGAGGAATGAAGCAACCCTTCAAATTTCTGTTTGAAGGAGCACACATGGAAATTCCCAAGCTTTGAGTGTAAATTTAGGGTGGCTTCTGCTATTATATGGGGAGGCTGTGTGAAAAAAACAATAGAAACTTTGCAAGCTCTTTCACTGCAGCTTTTTCAAATCTTTTTAGACCAAACAAATCAAAAGCCAATGGGTACTGCAAAAGGAGAAGGTTCACTGGATGTGGAAGTAGCCCATCCAACTCTTTAAAACATTTGCTTAGAGGGACAGGATTGTGAGGCTCATGAATGCATTTAAATGCACTCATGGTATGATTTCAATTTTATGCTCATGCAGCAGATTTTCTTTGCAGAGCCCTTGTTTAAAAAAATATGGGAAAACAGAATGCCATTTTAAATGGGGGGCAGAACCACAGACAACCGAGTACTTTCAGTGCTTTTCAGTAATATTTGTTTTAACATCCATGGGTGTTAAAACAGTATCTCCATGAATATACTTTGGCTGCCAGGGTAAGTCCACTTTTCAGTTGTCACAGCCTATTTTTCTGTAGAATTGAATGTAAATTCTCCTTCCTGCATGTGGGCCAAATTTTATTTTTTTTTGGGGGGGGGGGAATCCACAACAGTTTCACAGGGGTGATGTTTACCATTGGCTGGACTATCAGAACTGCTTATCTTTTAGCATAATGGAGTTTTATTTGTGAGGGGGAGGACACATCAAAAATTTGTTGGTAGCTTAACTACCATTTTGTATCCTTACAATATCCCAGACCTAGATGTGTTTCAGGAGGGAAAACGGTGGCCACCACTAACCCCTTCCTCACAAAGGTGGTGAATGTTCAGAGAAAAGCATCCTTTTTAGGGAGGAGGGGGAACAAACATCTCAGAAAATTTCCCAAAGAAAAGGTCTTCACACAAATTTTGAGTTTTCTCAAGTTTTCTGCAGGTGCCACATTAAATACATGCCTTGAAGATCTTCAAGCAACGTTAGATACTAGCTACAGAAGTTAGGGGCCTTATGACATCAAGTTTGGAGAGAGAAGCTTGATTGAAGGATGAGAACACAATCCTTTATCACAGAGATGGGGATAATTATTTGCCCTGCAAGGCCATTGGGGAGAAACCTACAACTGAGATCTTACATGACATCTGATATGGGGCAGGGCTCCAAAGGAACAACCAGCATCTGAAAGTGAGTTCCTCGTTGTTTCTTTGCCGAAGCAAGGTGCACTCCCACTCAACCATCAACTGATGAGTAGCAGAAGTGCACCTTGCTGAAAGTGGGGAAAGTGGTTTCTATCAAATAGAAACCACTTCTCCCTCCCAATGCTACCCTTTGAAGCAATCCACGCAGCTCCTTTCAACTTCCAATTTGCCAATGGCTTGCAAAGGGCTCAGTTTGGCTGTGTGGGAATAGGCACACAAGGACACAGAAAGCAGCCCCTTTTAGAAGCAGCTGCCTTTTAGAAGGATTGGCTATGCATGTGACTTCTCCTGCAGAGTAAATCCTTTCAAGAGGCACATCCCCCCCCAATCAGGTGATTTGAAAACAGCTGCCTTTGTAAAGGGCTTTCAGATGCATACAAACACACCCCTTCTGCCCCTATTTGTTTGAGTCTTCAGAGGCTCAACAGTCTCATGGGCATATCAAAAGCTCTTTGCAAACAGCAAAAGGCTTTCAAATGGCACTGGAAGTCCTGTCAATGGGGTCTTCAAAGCACAACATCACCTGATGTCATAGTTACATCAGGGGTTTGACAGAACCAATGGTCTGATTCCATATAAGGCAAATTTCTTTTCCGCTCTTCAAGGGTGTTGCTTGTCACATCAGTCTTTTCACTGACTCACTGAGCTAGAAGGAAGCGACTCTATCTCACTGTCATAAAGGTTTGTGCAGAGTGTACCACAAGCAGAGAGCAGAAACAAAGAACATTTCCCCGGATCATTTCATTCCAGATAACTCAAGCAAGTTACACAAGCATGAACTACAAGGGCAAAGCTGAATGTAACTTTGATGGGATCCAACTTTAGAAGATACCTTGTGTGACCATCTTCTGCAATGCTAGGGTTGCCATACATTGAAGAGCAAAAAAAGAGCCCCCTCACCTTCCATGGCTCGTGTGCACTAGGGACGTGCACATCTTACCCTCCAACATTTCATCAATGAAAATAGGGACATCCTATTCAACAACAACAACAACAACAATTGTACCCATCCCATCTGACTAGGTTGCCCCCGTCACTCTGGGCAGCTTCCAACATATATAAAAACATAATAAAACATTAAACATTTTAAAACTGCCCTATACAGGGCTGCCTTCAGGTGTCTTCTAAATGCATAATGGCAATAAGAAATACAACATGAAGATCCAAGTAGTATGGTGATCAAAGGAAAAGGAGCAAAGCTTTTAGGGGGGAAATGGGGTGCCTAGTACTTCAGCCATTTCCTCCACTCTTTCCCCCCAGCACTTTCTTTGCTAGGTTCTTCAGTCTGCTAAGATTTCAGGATACCCTCCCACACACAAATGGGGAGGTGGGGGGTTTTCCCTGACCTTACATGGCAGCTTTGTATTTTAACTTACATTCAAGAATTGTGTTTAGAGTTACCCAAGGTGATTTGGTTAATTTCTACAATAACTATCCAAATGCCCATTGGCCTTAGATGAATAACTTTTAATTAAGACTGAGAGAGCTTGGGAGGATCCTCTTTACTAGCAAGCTCTCTCTTCCTTTTCTTAGATCTTTCTAATACTGTATTGTAAAATCAGTAAATGTAAAGGGACCCCTGACCATTAGGTCCAGTCGTGACCGACTCTGGGGTTGCGGCGCTCATCTTGCTTTATTGACCGAGGGAGCCAGTGTACAGCTTCCGGGTCATGTGGCCAGCATGACTAAGCCGCTTCTGGCGAACCAGAGCAGTGCACGGGAATGCCGTTTACCTTCCCGCTGGAGCGGTACCTATTTATCTACTTGCACTTTGACGTGCTTTCAAACTGCTAGGTTGGCAGGAGCAGGGACCAAGCAACGGGAGCTCACCCCGTTGCGGGGATTCGAACCGCTGACCTTCTGATCAGCAAGTCCTAGGCTCTGTGGTTTAACCCACAGCGCCACCCATGTCCCTGTATTGTAAAATAGAGTCAGCTTAATTGCAATCAATGGATAATGCATTAGGGTGGGGTGGGAATCTTGGCATTGAGGCACACAGAAGAAGAAGAAGAAGATTTTTGGATTTGATATCCCGCCTTTCACTCCCCTTCAGGAGTCTCAAAGCGGCTAACATTCTCCTTTCCCTTCCTCCCCCACAACAAACACTCTGTGAGGTGAGTGGGGCTGAGAGACTTCAAAGAAGTGTGACTGGCCCAAGGTCACCCAGCAGCTGCATGTGGAGGAGCGGAGACGCGAACCCGGTTCCCCAGATTACGAGACTACCGCTCTTAACCACTACACCACACCACAGAGTATATGGGAGGCCTCAAAGTGGGGAAGGGGAAAGAGAAGGGGAAGGGGAAAGGAAGAGAGAGAGAGACACAGAGACAGACAGACAGACAGACAGACAGACAGACAGACAGAGACCCACTAAGGTAGGTGTCAGCAGAGACCCCCCTCAGGGAATCTTTCCCACCTACTCATGGGCAGCTTACTGGGCATGGCCAACAGCTTGGAAAGGTCTAGGCAGCAGCTGGCCAATCTGCCCAATCCCAACATCCACCATGCAGGTGCACTACAGAGATAGGAAAAGGTTAAGAGTGATCCTTGCATGCACACTTCCTGGCTCTGCTTGTAAAGCAAGTGTATGTACAGAGAAAAGGCGTGTCCATGGAGATACTCGCATGCACACTTCTTGGTTCTGTTTGCAAAAACCCAGACATTTTGGCAAATTCAAAAAATCTGCCCGGACTGAAATTTTACCCCCAAGAAAGAGGACCTATCTGGAAAAAAGGGGATGTATGGCAACCCTATGGAATGCAGAATCCTGTCTTTAATCATCTTTACTCATCGTGAAGGGCTGTAGCCTAGTGGTAGAGCATCTGCCTTGCATGCAGAAGGTCCCAGGTTCAATCTCTAGCACCTCCGGGTATGCTCCTTGCTTGAAACCCCACACAGACACTGCTGGTGTAGACGATACTAACCTAGGTGAAACAATGTGTCTGAGTATAAGACAGTTTCCTACATTCTGTAGTGCAATAATATTTAGGTTCCTGCAACTATTGCCCCTGCAAAAACATGCAATTTTTAAAATACAAGGAAGAGCAGAGATCTTCCCTAGACCTATGCAAAGCACCCCTTAGATCAGCAAAGAGGAAATTTGCCTAATTTTCTGCACAGCTCTGGACTTATTTCATCCTTGAGGTAGAAAACCCATCCAGCCAAGGGCACTTGTGCCACCATCCTCAAACATACCAGTCAGGGGGGATATGCAAAGCCCAACCTATGGATTTTCTCCCCTGCAGAGCAACACAGCCTGACATAATGGGATGGGATTTTATTCACAGCCAAATGAAGCAGCTGCCAAAACACTTGTGTGAGAAAACGCAAAGACTCAAGACAGCAACTTTTCATTCCATTTACCAACAGAATTCAGCTTCTCTGAACAATCCCTTACAATCAGGAGAAAGACAATGCTACCCTCAAATGAGGCTTTTTGTATTCCAAACAGTAGTGACAACTCTTTAAGACACTGAGTGAACGAGCCTTTCGGTTTTGGCTTCTGCTGCCAGATTGATAAGCAACAAAAAAGTAAGGAAAACACACATGTGGGTGGGTAGAAGTATGCATTTTATCCCTAGCCCCTTGAATGTGGTTCATTTTGCTCTCCTGTGACAAACTGAAAATGCCTCTGAGGAGTTCATTTCATGTCTCATCCATTCTCTGAATAATGGAGAAATCCCTCTTTGTTTCTCCAAGATATCAGCACACACTACACACCACACAGACTCAATTCCATTAGACATAATGGAACGAGATTGTTCTAGAAGTTGTTTTCAATTGCTTGAGTGCATCCTTCATTTAGGGAAACAAGAATAGATTAGCTTTTCTACCCAAGCAGACGTGCAGACACAAATTTTAAGCTAGAGCGAGGGCCATTTGTTTACAGGCTAGGCTTTGAGGTGGGGAGAAGGTCGACCATTACTGCCCCGTACTCAGGAACTACGTGAGGTGCTTGAGAAGTTCAAGGTATGGATCCCCTCATCTATCACTTGCATCTCAAAAAGGCCAGCCATCTATCCAAGCAGGGAGTCGTGCATCAAACTTGAGTTTCAGCAGTCTTTTGGCAAAGGGCCTGACTTTGCACTTCTCCTATTATGCATCTAAGCCTTAAGCAATCTTTACCTCTGCACTGTGGCACTCCAGGTTATTCAAAAGCTAATAAGATCAGGCAGTTGAAGAGCAGCAAAGCAGATACCAGTGACACCATGAGCAAAGGAACAGAACTGCCTGGTGAGAGTAAGACAGAATTCAGTGGCATAAGACCTAAAAATACTGGCAAAGCACATGTAGGTGTGGCTGGGGGGAGATGGGAGAAGAAATGCAAGCATCATATTGAGGGCGCTGAAGAGAGACAGTAATATAAGAGTAGGAAGTAGAGACATCTCCATTACAAAATGCTGGCACTGATTGGAGCTGTCTAGCAATAGAGTCTCCTGAACAAGAGCTCTTTAAGCAATTATTGATCACACCAACAAGAAGAGGAGCTACAGCACACTGGCTGCACATTTCCAGCAAAGACATTAGTAGCACTACCTTTTCACACAGAATGTTGTCCCTTGTGAAATCATACACACTTGCACCCAGACCCTTCAGCAGGTCCTGTGCATGCGCGCGCGCGCGCACACACACACACACACGATCTGGCTTTTAATGGCTGCAAGTTTTATTATTTCCTTTCTATATATTTTTCTTGTGCTAATTTATCTGTTGATGTTTGGCTTGGCTGTTCAAGCATACTAACTTGGTGACAGGCAGTGGGGAGATTATCTTAAGTATTTAAAACTGCTTGGGGAAGCATTTTTTTGTCCAGGAACCCTTCCATTATCCATGGGCTTGCAGTTCTTAAGAGTTCCTCAAATGTAATAGATAAGCCCAAATAGGAAAGGCTCCATCATATAAGTCTCTATCTCAATTGACAGCAGCTGAAGAAGCAGGGATCAAGGGTGAAACTGCACACTAATACTAAGCATTACAAAATTAAATTAAAAAGGAGGGCATCCCAACAAATCAAACAAATATAGGAGTTACAAGCAATGCATCAAATTTTATGCAGCATGCATACACACAAAACACACACACCTCCTCACACTTCACAAAATTTTGCATCTTTGTATTCCAGTAGCCATACTCTGTTGCTTTTAGGCAGACAGGCTGGTGGACAGGGTAAAAGCAGATGAACAAACCTACTCCTCATTCCAAAAATCAATTGGGTTCTTTGAGCATTCCCTTTGAGCAGTCAAAAACCCTTGAAGGGTTTTATCAATCATTTGTCATAACTAATGCCTTCTGCCATATGCTATTCCATCCCCTTTCCCCAACAGAAGAAGAAAAAAACATTTACACTGTGCTAGAGCACGCATGGCATAAAACTTGCCCTCAAGCCAACGAAGAACTTCCAAGGGAACGTAATCACACTGATCAAATAACAGCCAGGGCAGCTAAGAAGACCTTCTACGCTGTCTCTATGCTGCCCAGTTGAGCTTTTCTGTGTGGTCCTGAGGCTTGTCAATCCAAATACAAGGGGATCTGCCCAAAACTTTGAGGATAAACTAACTTGACTCTGTAGCAACTTGAATGCCACAGCTATGACATTTTGGTTGAAGTGCCCAGTGCACCATCCCCCTCTGCCTTGTGGGATCATTTTCAATTTATGCAGCCTGATGATGTGGACAGGATACTTGTGGCTTCACTTCTGACCACATGTCATCTTGATTCCTGCCCATGCTGGTTGGTGAAAGACTGCCAGATTGGCATGCCTACTTGGGTTCAGAGTTTTCAAGTTCCCTTTATGTTGGAAGAGATGAGATGGCAGGACACCTGGGAAACATTGTTTAACTTCAGGCAATTATTATACTGCAGGGGTTGTGGAAACTTTAATCAATCTGTTGGACTAAAAAAGCAAGTAATCCAACATTGAAAAAACAACTACTGTTTTTAGTGTAAGTACTTATATAAAAAGTGCAGTTGGCAAGCACTGTTTTAGAAGAAGCATTCCCTCTCCACTCTTACACAAGAGGAAACATGTCTTCTGAGATGATGCCTGCTGTGATACATGTGTGTGCTATCAATAATTTACTGGATTTACTGCTATCAGCTTTCTTGGTCACCCTTAGGGAGTAAGGAAAGAACACACACATAAAAAATAGAAAACATTGTTTTTCTTCTTAAAAATCACTATTTCACTCATATGCTTATTTTGGGTGATTTAATCAATTGCCACTCATATACTTATCATTTATTTGTGTGAAAATCCTATAGATGGCTCACCTGCGTAGGGCTTATAAATGCAATCAATCAATCAATCTGCACTTCCTAAGGCAAGTGTTCCTCCTCAGGGTTTCAGACAGCCTAGAATGTGACCTTGTTCAGGCTTTTATTTAGTGGGGGAGGGGGGTAAGTAGTGGGGAAGCCATAAAGGGGCACTTTTCCTATTCAACCTCACTTCTCTCAAGGCCTTCCCCTGCTCGACTGGAGGCTAGTCCATTATGGCAAATGGGTCACTGCCCCACCAACCTTAGTCATTTACTCCTGCATATCACATCCTATGCAACTCATAGTAGGATGGGAAGCTGCAGTCTGGCTTTAGAACCTACAGCTTTCTTCAAGGAGGACCCTAATTCTCACCTTGTCCACAGAACAATGAACACACAAATGAACATTTTAGCATGAGCTATATATGTAGCGACTAAACGACTAAACAACAACAACAACATACATGTAGCAGAATGAGGTGCTGGGATGGGCTGTTGTCAACTGTAGGTAGGGTGCTCACATTTCTAATGAATTTTCCCATGCAAAATAGTCCAACACCCTTAGTACCAGATTACCAAACAGACAGAGGAGACACCAGCCTATGGGTGCCTTTTTAGGGCCCCACAACAACAGATCAAAATAATATTGATTTGATCTTGAAAGAAAATTACAACCAATCTTTCTTAGTTCAATGTTTAGAGGCCTCCATGGGTTTAATCCAGCACTGAACATCCTGTTCTCACAGTGACCAATCAGTTGCCTGTGGGGAGCCTGAAAGGTGGACACATGTGGAACAGCACTCTGCCCTCCTGCAAGTCCTTGTTGTTGTTGTTGTTTAGTCATTTAGTCGTGTCCGACTCTTCGTGACCCCATGGACCAGAGCACGCCAGGCACTCCTGTCTTCCACTGCCTCCCGCAGTTTGGTCAAACTCATGCTGGTAGCTTCGAGAACACTATCCAACCATCTCGCCCTCTGTCGTCCCCTTCTCCTTGTGCCCTCCATCTTTCCCAACATCAGGGTCATTTCCAGGGAGTCTGCAAGTCCTAGCAACCGGTATTCAGAGGCAATCCAAATGAACAAATTGGGATTAAGAGGCAGCCTCTTTGGGTTTTCTTTGGTAATGGGGGCTACCATGTTGCATATGGAAGCAGATATTTGAGGATCAAGCAACCCCCCCTGAAGCCATTCCATGGCCTTTAAAAACAGCTTAAACTGTCCCTGGGACTTCTGCACAGGCTAGGTTGAAAATCCAAGTGCTTGAAATCAGTGACAAAGAAGAATGAAACAAAATAACTTGGCAGGAAGTTGAGCCATTTGGCTGATGGAAAAGTGGGGAGAGAAGGATTTGCAAAAGAGATAAAAGCTCCTGGAACTGGTTGCCATCTGCATAGAATTCTTGTTTGTATGTTTGAGTGCAACTGTTATGCGCAGTTGTGTACACTGTGGAATTCTGAAGACTCTGAACACAACTGATGCCAATTCCCTCTTTCAAATAAATGTGACAACTCCATGACTGTTTATTTGTATATATTTTATAATTTTATATATGGATGTTTTATGATAGCCTATATTTGTAATGACTAATAAAGATGTGGCGAAGAAGAAGACAACTCCATAGCTCAGCCTAACCCATTAGTACAAAAACAAAGTATCATGCAAATTCATCTTTCCACATCAGTGTGTGTTTTCTCCAAATGAGACTATAAACTAGCACTACTGGTAATCACCATTATTTGGAAAAATATACTCTGACATTTTCTGCAGAATAATGTGCAAGCATTATTTGGCTAGCTTCTCCCTCACCATCAATTTCTACCCTCCAAAGTGGCTGCATTTTATATCTTTTGCAAAGGACCATGGGAGAGTCTTCTACTATGACCACGCATCATATGAACAATAAAGTATTTTTATTCTATGTATAAATACAGACAAGTGAGACAGCAGCAGTAAGGACAAAGGTAGTTCTCCCATGGCAAAGCTTCTCTGGAGTGAGAAGATAAAGAGCGGTTTTAACAAGGTAATTTAGAGGGCATTGATAACTCAGGAGAAAAATTATTATAGACAAGAACAGTGTGTCAGCTTCAACAAGCGTTCTTTGGTTGTCAGCAGACCATTGGCTTAATGCAGATATACTCCTTGCACTGGGCATCCATTCAGAAAGAAGCTTTGTTAAAGTGCAGTCTTAGCCTAACCAACTGCAAAGCCTTGTTGCAAGGATAAAATGGGGAGGGAGGGAGGGAAACCATGAGCTGCTATCATCATTAGGACTGGTCAGGGTTTTTTTTTAGCAGGAACTCACAGGAATTTAGTTCCAGCACCTCTTAGATAGGCACCATTGCCATTCTAACAGAACGAGGGAGGTGTTCGTGGTGAGTTCTGGCACCTCTATTTCTAAAAAAATATCACAAGGCCCGGCACTCCTGTTTCTTCTAATAGACTCAACTTTCCTTTGTGTTATTTATTGCTGGCTTACTCCTGATACCTTGGTGCACGCTATCTTTCAGTCCAATCTACCTCAAAGGATTGTTGTGGGGAAAAGATAAAAATACAGTGGCCTAATTTGTGCCACACATTATGGGGCTAGGCAGAGACACAGAAGAAATGTGTGATTTGACCATCACCAGCATACATGAGCCTAAGTCTATGGTGTAACTTCAGTTGGTACTTAAAACTGCCCATTGGGTGCCAAGTTGGGATGCTTCGGGATGGAGGAGTTGGATATAAATTTAATCAACAAGTAAAGGAACTTCTACAGGAAATACACTAGATTGCATTAATTGATCTGATGTGCAGTAGTGCCTTGCAGTGGGTGGACAAAAATTGTGTTGGGATGAAAGAGGGTTTTATGACACAGCAAATGCGGTACAAAAGAGCCAACAGAGTGGCATTATGCCCTTCATCTGAGGAAGCAGGCTATAGTCTAGCACAGTATTTACAAAAGTGGTCAATATTGCCCCCTCGGAAGCACTGGAACCATCCAGGGGTGAGGTAGTAGCCTCGGGTACAATATAAAAATAAGGGGCTGGTGATAGCGTAAAGAAAGAGAAGAATTTTTTGAAAAACCATTCATACAGGTTTCATTTGTGTAATGATGCTTACCGCCAGGTCAGGCGCCAATGTGGGACAGTGACAACCTCTCCCATGGATCCAGTGGTTGTGTTGGAGGAGAGGGGTTTTCCCGGGCTTGGGTGAACTCTTTTTAGCTTCACCCAGGCCTGGGAAGTGGATCGCAGCTTCCTTGCCTATTTGGCCAATTCCTTCATCTTATTTAGGGGAAATGTGGGTTCAGTGTGGCCACAAATCTGTTAACTAAAAAAAAAACCTGACTGCAAATAGCTAATCGAGGTGATTTAAGAATGCTGCTGACAAAATTGATAAAATTTGATAGCAGGGCACAAGATTCATTCTTCTCATAAGGATTATTTTTAATTTTATCCGTAATTTTTCTTTTTAATATTATCCTTTGTTCTCTTACTTTTCTTTGTGTAATGTGAATGTTACTCTGTTTGATTTTTCTTTAAAAAACCAACAACTATAATTTCAAGCTTCAATGTGTCTTATTTACAACAACATCTTCCTTTACCATGTTGTAGGATGCTGGTAGAAATATAGATACATAAAAGAAAGCAAGTTTGTCACTGCATCTTTCTGTTTGTTCGCTTAAAGAAGGTAAAGCTCCAGGGGGTGGGCTGAATAATTGTTTTCCTGAAAAGTTGGTGGTAGGTCAAATAAGTTTGGGAACCTCTGTTATAGCAGATACCCATGTCACAATACGTCACACCAGGGATGGGGAGTATGGCCCTTGAACACTCCCTATCTGGTCCTCATAACTCTCCCCAGCCCATACCTCTAACTGGCCTTGCTCTGCACCCTCTTTGAGTCTTCTTGCCAGGCTGAGATGTGTTCTTGAACTCTGATAATGCCTCTTGCTTGTGGAGAATAAATGAGTATGTGAATGAGTTCAGAAACTAGCCTACTGCACAAAAGATAAAATTCACCTTTGTTGCTCCATGCATATTTGCCTCTGGCCTTGCGCAACAGTGCCCCCCTCCAAAGGAGGAATAAAGCCCTCTGTCTGAAAAGGTTCCCCACTCCTGCTATACAAGAAGCTGAAGATGGTACCGAAACAGTGTGGTGATGCAGTGTGGTGCAGTGGTTATGAGTGTTGGACTCGGACCTGGGAGACCAGGATTCAAATCCCTATTCATTGGGTGAACATAGTGCAGTCTTAGCCAAACCAACCACACAGCCTTGTTGCCAGGATAAAACAAGAAGGGAAACCATGGTGGGGGGGGGGGGAATGGGAAAAAACGATTTATGCCACCTTAAGCTCCTTGGAGGAAAGGTGGGATTTTAATCAAATAAATAAAAAACATGAGGATGGTTCAGTTCACACTGAAGGCTGTTTCTGTGGTGAAGGGGATGGGTTTGCACCACTCCCCTATATTTAAAAGAACACCTCCCCACACCAGCTTGCTCTTACACCAATCTTTGCTTTGGAGGACCTCCTGTATTTGAGGTGAAATGGATGACAACCAGTGAGAAAGCCTTATCTAACATTGTACCCTTCTTGAGAGCCAGTGTGGTGTAGTGGTTAAGAGCGGTAGTCTCGTAATCTGGGGAACCGGTTTCGTGTCTCCGCTCCTCCACATGCAGCTGCTGGGTGACCTTGGGCTAGTCACACTTCTCTGAAGTCTCTCAGCCCCACTCACCTCACAGAGTGTTTGTTGTGGGGGAGGAAGGGCAAGGAGAATGTTAGCCGCTTTGAGGCTCCTTAAAGGGAGTGAAAGGCGGGATATCAAATCCAAACTTCTTCTTCTTCTTGAGAAATCCCCTCCCCCTCCCACAGCACTGGTGCCCTCTAGGTGCCAGGCTAATACCTTCCTTTTTCCCTCACGCCTTTAATGCCAGTGAAATGCTCGGGTTTCCGTTTTTAACTCTGTCTTGTATTTAAACAGTTACCTCGTGAACTATAAGTGACATAGATTGCTTCTAAGCAAGTGAATGGTCTGCATCAAGAGTTAGTAGCCCAGTGGTGAACACTGGTCTGCCTTTGATATACAGTGGTACCTCTGGATACGAATGGGATCCGTTCTGGAGCCCCGTTCGCATCCTGAATAGAACGTAAGACGCGTCTGCGCGTGCGCAGCTCACGTTTTGCTGCTTCCGCGCGTGCGCGTGACGTCATTTTGGTCGTCTGCGCATGCCTGAGCAGTGAAACCTGGAAGTATTGCACTCCGTTAGTTCTGGGTCGCCGTGGAGTGCAACCCAAAAATATTCATCCCGAAGCTACTTCAGCCCGAGGTATGACTGTATATGAGTGGCTTGCAAAGGAGAGATTGAGCAGGCCAATACAGAATTTGCAGCCTAGTATTTGTATTAGTCATATTTTTGTGGGGTTATTTATAATCACGTTTTAACCATGATTCAGTGTCAATTGGATTGTTACTGTTTTATTGATATGCTTTAAATTACCCCGGAAACATTTTTTTAACTTGAAGGAGGCATAAAAAATGCTTAAGACCAGCATTTTCCTTCCCCATCCCAGTTGTGGATATGAACTAAGGTACTGCCTGGCAAAGCACTCTTTGAAAGCATAGGACCAAAGGAAGCTGCCTTATACAGAGTCAGACCATCGGATCAATCTAGCCATGTACTGTCTACAGTGAATGGCAGTGGCTCTTCATGATTTCAGATGGGAGCATCTCCCAGCCTCCTACCTGGCGATATCAGAGATTGGGCTTCTGGTTCCTGTCCATGACTATGGTGGCCACTCTTCATGGGATAGAGTGCAAAAAGCCACTTTTTTTGGGGGGGGGGGTGTATTACATTTATTTTAATTTCTGGTTGATTTGTTAAAATTTGGAAAATTGATAAAAAGGCTTTGGCAAAAAAAGGAGAGAGACGTATTGGAGATTGAACCTGTGACCTTCTGCATGCAAAACAGATGCTCTACCACTAAGCTACAGCCTTTCCCCAAGTTTTTCTGCAAAAGAAGCTTCACAATAAGCAGGTTATGGCCAAGGATCTCTACCGTGCTACGTACTAAAATAATGTCCCTTGATCTAATGCTGCAATGGCGCAGTGAATTCAGAGATATTCCAACAATTTTTTGGAGTAGGTCTTCTGTGGACCCAAAAATATATCTTCTCCAGCAAAGGATGGGATGCCAAAGAATCACAGAATCACTGAACTGTAGAGTTGGAAGTGGCCCTGAGGGTCATCTAGTCCAATCCCCTGTGATGCAGAAATTTCAACTAGATCATACATGACATATTGCCGTCCAACCTCTGCTTAAAAAACCTCCAAAGAAGGACAGTCCACCACAGGGAGATGGACTGATGCCAGATCTTTTGAGTTGTTGCCTCAGCACTGCAGATTATTTTAATTAGTAAACCATTGCTGTTCAACAGAGCTCCATTTCACTCTCAAGTTTGCATCCTCTTAATACTAACGGAATCTGGTCCAACATGAAGTGTGAATTTGCTTTAGTTTCCTTCACTTAGAAGACAGAAGGAGAAGAGACGCCACATTTTCAGTTTAAATCCACAAGCCCATAAAGCACCATCTGTGTCTGAGCAGGACCAGCTCTCGGCTTAGCAGAATGCTCATTGCTTAAAGCAATGTGAAATTTTGCACTTTGGGGACAGAGAAAGAAAGTCATCAGAATCTCCCTGAGGATATAAACAGCTGAAATGGCTTATAGTCCTGGGTAGCAGCAGCAACACAACAACAATAGCAACAGATTTTGTCTGAGAGCAGCAGCAGGAGCTTGTGGCTGGCCAGCTCTGCCATCTTCAGCTGGCATCAGTGCAGTCAATTAAAAACACGGGGGATGTCAGAGAATGTGCAGTCCCTGCTCCAAGAAAACTCCGCTTAAAAGAAGCCTGCAAAAATCAACAGGGTTTCAAATAGCCCAGTTCTCTACTGATTTTGTTGTACTCCAACTCCCATCAGGCCAAGCTAAAATGACCAATGATTAGGGATGATGAGGGCTGTAAACCCATCAGCATCTGGAGGATACACCTGGCCTAAAACTGATGTAGCAAAGTGCCCCCACAGTACAGCTAACTAACTCTCTGAAATCCAGGAATTGCATTTTTGAATGCAGCGATACTCAATTCTACTTAGAAATTTAAAACTTGTAACTAAGGTTCCCCAAGAACAGGCTGGCCGATGAATCGTTTTTCAGAAGAGTCAGTCCCCTGCAGTCTTGCTCAAATTTGCTCTTCCAACACTGCATACGCATATAAACCTCTGGACAAATGTCTCCTAAAACTGGAAATTTAAGGAACATGTCTGTCTTAAGAGGCAGCTCTTGGTCCTTTCCTGTCCTGTATTTTCCTGTCCTTTCCTGCCCTGTCAGCATCCCTGACACCATTCTCAGACACATTTTCTTCAAGGTAAGTTCTCTGCTAGTTCACTTCTAAATCTACAAGTGAACATGAGAGGTTGTTTTACACAGAGTCAGCCCATTGGTCCAGCCTCCTCAATATTGTTAACACTGACATACTGAAATACTCTGAATTTTCAGACAGAGAAACCTACTGCCAGTTACACCCCCTCAGCTTCCCCCTTCCCTCATTTCAGCAGTATAAATTTTTGGGAAGAAGTGGGAAGGGAGGGTCATTTTGTTGTTGGAATTTTAAACTGAGAGTACAAAATCTAGCTTAAATTACTAATAATCTTTGACCTACTTTCTGCCTACCATTGAATAAAAGCCACACTGCAAAATGGAAGCTAAAAGACTGGTTTCCAGTGACTACATCAAACCATTGCATGTCTACAAGAGAATTTAAAAATTATTTGGCTGAACATTGAATGACACAGATAAGAAACCTTTGGCCATCCATATGTTGTGGTAGTGCAATTCCCATCACCATCCCTGGTAACTGGGCAATGTTGGCTGGAACTGAGGGGAGTCAGAGTCCAACAACCAGGTTCCTGATCCTGCTGCATGGCAAACAAGTCCTCATACCCTTTGATAAAAATGTGGTTAAAATCAGGATCTCATTTTATGAAATATGTCTTCTCCCAACTAGTATTTGGATCCACATGAATGTCTGTGCTGCTTCCGAATTAATAGTGCATACATAATACCACCAATGATTCCTGATGTGTTTTATGATTTTCCTGATATTGTAAGTGAGCTGGAACTGGTCTGTGACCGTAATAATAAAATTCAATTCAATAATACCACCCCCAGCCAAATATTTGCCACTTCAATCAGATTTGTTCTTCCTCCTTCACACTAGAAAATGGCATGCCTTACACCTTTGGAATTCCCTCCCATTACATATCAGACAGGCACCGTCTCTATTGCCTTTTCATTGCTTATTGAAGACCCTCTTTTTGCAAAACCTTTAAGTGGCAGTTTTTAATCTTGGTCTGTTTCTCCATTGGATCTTAAATTGTTTTTGCATGTGAAGTTATTTTTAATTGTTTTTATGTTGATGCTTGGGACACCGGTGGCGCTGTGGGTAAAACCTCAGTGCCTAGGACTTGCTGATCGTATGGTCGGCGGTTTGAATCCCCGCGGTGGGGTGAGCCCCCGTCGTTCGGTCCCAGCTCCTGCCCACCTAGCAGTTTGAAAGCACTCTTAAGTGCAAGTAGATAAATAGGTACCGCTTTATAGCGGGAAGGTAAACGGCATTTCCGTGTGCTGCTCTGGTGCTGGCTCGCCAGCTGCAGCTTCGTCACGCTGTCCACGTGACCCGGAAGTGTCTTCGGACGGCGCCGGCTCACAGCCTCTAGAGCAAGATGAGCACGCAACCCTAGAGTTGGTCACGACTGGCCGGTATGGGCAGGGGTACCTTTACCTTTACTATGTTGATGCTTTTATTGCAAAATTGCTTTGAGGTAGATTTATGAGAAGTGGCTCATAAGCAGAATCAAATTAAAATAAAATACATATTCCCTTGCAGTATGACAAATAGCAACTTGAATTGTGTCACTCTGAAGCTGCTCCTTCCTTTTAATGGTACTTCCCACAAGATGCTTGAAAACATCAGAACTACTCTTTGGAAAAGACAAATCCTTTGCTGGTAGTTCTTACAGTAAAGTACATACACTCATTCTGATAACATAGACCATCAAGGACAAGACAAGAGAGACTAACAGTAGCTACTTGCCCAAAACAAAAACAATTTCTTTTTAAAATATGCATATAACTAAGTTTCTTTGCTGCGGAACTGGTGCAATCTTAAATGAAGGGTCAAGAAAGCAACTCATTTCATTAAATACAATCCGATTAACCCTAACTTGATTAGGTTAAGTGGATATAGCAGTCCATAAAGGGGAACAAAACTCATTCAGGTCAGTAACCTGTTAGTTATTTGAAAGAAAGAGTAAATGAAAGTTTCACAGAAAGGCTACCTAGCAGCTATAACGCAAATAGATTTTCAGAGAGCTTATGATAAAGTGCTGTCTAAAAGATTAAATAAAGTAAATGTCTAATGAGTAAGAGGCACATAGTCTTTGCATGCACACACATCCAGCAACTGTTATCCACTAGCATATCCACCTCTGACTGCTATCACAGCTAATCAATGCAAATGATTGGTGGAAATGTAGGGCATGTTGAATTTTTCAATTATCGCATTCCTAAAATGAGGGGTGATATGAAGCTGTCATATGACTTGGGAATTCAGAAGATATTCTGGTTAAATTAACATTTAGTTTTGCTTGGTAGATTACTACATTAAAATATTGACTTTTTACGTTTCTGAGAAATTTCCAATAATTTTAAACTTGTTTCATTTAAAAGTTATGAAAAAATGTGTGTAATATTGCATAAAATCATTAAATATGATTGCCAAGTACTTTCAGTTATATTATATATGCCTGAGCTTAACAAACAAGTCAAGAAGCAGAAGCAGCAAGAATATGAGAGAAGGTTTGCTGAATATAAGCAAAGAACTAAGCAGGATGCTTCCATACCATCAACTGAAATTTTCTCTGCTGGTGAAAATGAAAAAACCAAGTATGCCTTCCACTTCTAATAAAACGTCAGAGCACAACACATTATAAATACATTGTGTTGTTATGCAGAGTATCATATGTATGGTGTAGGCCTGCGTGCCACAGCTGCCATCATCACTGTCACCTGTATGGTCGCTGGCTTGATCACTGAGGAAGAAAAGAGACCTGTATTGATCACAATAAAGTCAAGAGCATCCAATAAAAAGTTATGAAATCCCTGGATCAGGAATTTGATTATCTTCATCAAAAAAATAGACTGCATCTTCTTTGACGGCTGTGAAGATACAACTGCTGCTGTTGTTGTTTAAATTTGTATACCGCCCTATACCCACAGGTCTCAGTTATGCTGAAAGCAGACAATTCAGACCAGCAGTTCCACAGCATCATCACAGAACAGCATTATTCTGTGTCCCCAACTCCCCACCACCACCATCACTTGAGAATTGTTGAGGTTCTTGGCGGACCACCTTATGATTTTTCTGTCTGTTGTAGCAATTATAATGCATTGTACTACATGCTGTAAGATTTTAAACTGTATTTGCACTGACATGCCATGGACCACCTAAATGAAGTGGGCGGACCAGTTTGGAAACACTTGAAATATGGGACAGGTTATCTTGCAGAAGCCTGCTGTATTTAATCATTTGCTCCATTTGCTCCATTTCCCATTTAAAAAAAACCCAAAAAACTAAATTCAGTCTCTTCAGAACACTTGCTAAGCATTGTTATCTGAAGCAATTAAAATGTTTGCATTTAAAAGTCAAGATTTGTACCCTAACCTCTTGCCAAAGTCTTTTCTTCATGTCACATGCTGTATTTTAAAGCTCACCTCATAATTTCTAGCTTTCCTCTTGGAAGGCTAGTGTAACAGATCCCGCTGTTAACCACCAATTAATAATGTAGTGGATTCACCTTGCTAACTGCCCACAATTAAATATAGTGGACCCACCTCAGGATATGCCAATTAAATGAATGTCTGCCATTTACCACAGGCTATCTTGTGGGGGTCTTGTGTGAGGGAAAACTTAGTGATGTAGAGTCTCAGGCAGGAGTTGATCAAACAAAAACAAAAGTTCTATTAACAAAAAGAAGTTTGTGAAACAAAGTTGGGTCAAAAGCATTCTTTCATATAAAAGTTAACTTGATTACATAAACTAAAGAAACTAAAGAAAAAAATAAAATTGCAAATTCTGGAAGGAAAAATGCACTTTTATAGCAAGATTTGATGCATTATGCAAACTAGGTAACTTCATGCTTCATGCATATGTATTTAATCTGCATCAGATGACTTCACATAGGTTTCTTTTTAGCACTAAGTTCTGAACTGGTTTTACTTGTTGCAGGAATATTCCGCAAGTACTGTACACCCTATAACTTCCGCCACCCGACCTCACACCCACTCACCTCTCCCCCTCCACCTCTCTCCCCCTTTTCTTCCTAATGTCTCAACAAACAAAACTAATCTGTAAAAAATGTTACTTGGGAAAAAAGAGAGAGAGAGACATTGCACATACTTTTGTAGACCAAGAAAATCTTTAATAAAAATACATTTAAAAAAACAAACTTTGTGAAGTAGGAGAGGGAGAGGGAACAATGTATCCTTGAGTAGATTTGGTGCAAAAAGTTAGCTACAGGGTGGGGGGGCAGGGAGGGCTAAGGAATAATTTGCACATGTTGTCAGTGTTTATACTACATTTTTTTAGATTTGCCTTGAGACAGTCTTTAAACCTCTTTTGTTGACCACCAGCATTATGCTTTCCATCTTTAAGTTCGGAATAGAGTAGTTGCTTTGGAAGACGATTATCGGGCATCCGCACAACATGACCAGTCCAACGAAGCTGATGTTGAAGAATCATTGCTTCAACACTGGTGATCTTTGCTTCTGCCAGTACACTGATATTAGTTCGCCTGTCTTTGCAAGTGATGTGTAAAATTTTTCGGAGACACCATTGATTCTCCAAAGAAGAAGAAGAAGAAGAATTTGCACATGGTACAGCCCGTGAGCTCATTTCTTATTTAACATATGGTAACAAAAGTAAAGGGACACGGGTGGCACTGTGGTGTAAACCATAGAGCCTAGTACTTGCCGATCAGAAGGTCGGCGGTTCAAATCCCAGCGACAGGGTGAGTTCCCATTGCTCAGTCCCTGCTCCTGCCAACCTAGCAGTTTGAAAGCACATCAAAGTGCAAGTAGATAAATAGGTACCACTCCAGCGGGAAGGTAAACGGTGTTTCTGTGTGCTGCTCTGGTTCGCCAGAAGTGGCTTAGTCATGCTGGCCACATGACCCGGAAGCTGTACGCTGGCTCCCTCGGCCAATAAAGCGAGATGAGCGCCGCAACCCCAGAGTCGGTCATGACTGGACCTAATGGTCAGGGGTCCCTTTACCTTTTAACAAACGTAAAGCACTGAGAAACAGGATGATTTAAGAAAAGGAGCCTGAATTCATGTTCCATTTCATAATCATAGTTCTCTAAGCATTTTTTTTCTGCCCAAAGCTGACTAATTATTCATGCATCTATAGAATTGCTACTCCTGAGCTGTTCTTCTGCTCTCCAGCTAAGTTGCCCTGGTATGGCTGAGCTGAGCTGAAGGGCAATACACTGGTCCCTGCCATCACCTAGGAAACCAAGCACTACTGGGAGGGCTGCCTCCCAGGCTTAACTCACTTCTTTTATTTGAAAGCATTTATAAACTGCTCCATATTTCTGGTTTTTTTAAATAAAAAAATCCTCTAAGCAGTGTATGTTATAAAAAAGAAATGAAATATGCCCCATTAAAACAGAAACGCAACCTAAAACCAAAACAATTGCAACACAAACACACATAAAACAAAATAAAACAGATAAAAAAAATTAAGAGCCGGGTATACTTTTCTGGATCAGGCAAAACCAGAGCCAAGAGAGGTCCCGTCCCCCCACTATATTTTATTAAATTTTCAAAAAGTTCACATGTACAATCCAATACATAATAGATTTTTTTTTGTCAACTTCACACCCTGTTTTCCATGGTGTTTTTTATTTGTCTCCCTCGCTGTACCCTATTGACTCTCTAATATACCATAATAACAAAACAATAATCTCTAATTACTTCTGTTGCTCAACAATCATCATTAGGTTCTCTTATTTTCAGGGGTCAGCAAACTTTTTCAGCAGGAGGTGGGTCCACTGTCTCTCAGACCTTGTGGTGGGGGTGGACTATATTTTGAAGGAAAAAATACGAACGAATTCCTATGCCCCACAAATAACCCAGAAATGCATTTTATATAAAAGGACACATTCTACTCATGTAAAAACACGCTGATTCCCAGACCGTCTGCAGGCCGGGTTTAGAAGGCGATTAGGCCAGATCTGGCCCCCGGGTCTTAGTTTGCCTACCCATGCTTTGGCTGTTAACTTTGCCAGTTAGACATAATCCATCACTCTACTTATCCATTCTTTGGTGGGAACTACTTCTTCCTCCCCCCCCCCCCCCCGTCTCTCTCTTGTTTTTGCATACAGAATCGTAGCTGCTGCTGTTACATACATAAAGAACCTAATCATCTTTTTCTTTTTTAACTTCTCCATAGAAGAAAAGCTTCAGGTTTTTTGGTATTATCAATTTAAGCATCTTTTTTGCCTCATCATATATCATTTCCCAAAATACCCTCACTTTCTTACAAGTCTACCACATATGAAAAAAAGATCCATCTACTGTACTTGTTTACACTTCCAACAATTATTGGAAACTTCTTATACATTTTAGACAATTTGTTAGTTGCTAAGTACCATCTATACATAATTTTCATGTAGTTTTCTTTTAAGGTACAGCAAGCAGTAAATGTCATATCAGTTTTCCATAACTTTTCCCATTTCTATATTATATCCTACATCTTTAGCCCAATGCATCTTTAGTGATTTAACCTTTTCATCTTTCATCTAATTCTTTCGTTCATTCTAATAACTATACATTTTTGAAATCAATTTTTCTCTTCCTTCAAGCAGAATCTTTTCAAAGTCAGGTCTAAGGTCTATGAAACCTTTTAATAAATCCTTTTTAAAATACTCATTAATTTGATAATATTGAAACCAGTCCAACACCCATTGCGTGTCGAGGTCCCCAGGTCCACCCCAATAACTCACACATCACACAGAAGTTTTTGTTTAAGATTTTTGGCATAATTTTGGCCACAACTTTATTAAAATACAAATTTGTGAGTGGTTGCGTAGGCATTGGTTGCGACTATCTGCCCCCACCATGGGGACAGACTGACATTCCGCACGATGCGAAAGTCAGAATGGGGGAATACACTTGGGGGTTACGCGGAGCAGGGAACCTGCCCTCACCCCAAATGCAACCAGGAGCTCATTGCTATGGCCCGAGCCCCCCTTGACAGAGTGGACAAGCAATAGTTAGCTCCCAATTCCTTTAACGGAATCCCTTGCAGCAGCAGCATTAGAGGGGCAGGCACAGCCAATCCATGCCCCTCAACCAACCAAACCATAAACCAATGCCTAACCGCGAACCTTACAAGTTGTGACGATTTGCTACGCAGTAGGCAAAAACCAAATGGCCCCAGCCAATCAGCCAGATGGACAAAATTCCTACCAGGCCCCTGCTCCAAAGCAGACGACCCCATGACAGGCATAGCAAGGTCAAAGCGAACAACCCTATTCTAGGGAGGGAGGGACGGGCAATCTGATGCACGGGCGAAAAGAGGAAGCCCTAGCCTCGTGCAAGGAGTTTTACTATTTCTGGCTGTCAATCAATAAATGGCAACATTAACTTCTTCCCAACAACAAGGGAAGCCTCAATCGCATCAGTGGCCAACGATCAATTAGCCCGCCCCCCAACTTTGGAGTGTCCTGGCGGCCCCCACCGCAACACGTGCTCTCCATGAAGGAGAACACGCTTTCTCGGATTTCTTCGAACTTTTTCAACTTACACATATTTTTTTGGGGGGGGGAGCAGTATACAGTGGTACCTCAGGTTACAGACGCTTCAGATTACAGACTCTGCTAACCCAGAAATAGTACCTCAGGTTAAGAACTTTGCTTCAGGATGAGAACAGAAATCGCGCAGCGGGAGGCCCCATTAGCTAAAGTGGTACCTCAGGTTAAGAACAGTTTCAGGTTAAGAAGGGACCTCCAGAATGAATTAAGCTCTTAACCCGAGGTACCACTGTATCTCTATAGGTACCCCAATTCTCTGTCATATTTAGTTTCTTTTGAGTACTAGCTTCTATTGGGGATAACCATAGCAGTGTTTTCCTTGAACTTGATATCTGGTTCACACACAATATAGACATCTTCTTATATAATGATTTAAAAATTATCTATGTACCTCTACCTTATCATACCACAAATAGGTAGGGCTGTGCGATAAATCACTGTATCATTGAATACAGTATTGAAATAACATCGTGTTAAGTGTTTCAACAAGGCAATATACAAGGGAACAAAAGATGGAGTCTTGATAGCTTCCCAGGGGGTAGCTCAACTGAAAGGATACTTTGCAAATACTTTGCAGGCAAGGTGTCTCCCACTTCGTTTGCTCTCCCCTCCCTCTCTCCCTCCTAACCTATAAGAAATGATGACAAGGCCTCACACAAAGCAGCAAACCCTCTAAGCTTCACTGGTATCTTTCCACTTAAAAGGTAAAGGTAAAGGACCCCTGACAGTTAAGTCCAGTTGTGGACGACTCTGGGGTTGTGGCGCTCTTCTCGCTTTATTAGCTGACCCTGAGGTGTTCAGCTTCCGGGTCATGTGGCCAGCATGACTAAGCCGCTTCTGGCGAAACCAGAGCAGTGCATGGAAATGCCGTTTACCTTCCCGCTGGAGCGGTACCTATTTATCTACTTGCACTTTGACGTGCTTTTGAACTGCAAGGTTGGCAGGAGCTGGAACCGAACAACGGGAGCTCACCCTGTCACGGGGATTCAAACCACCAACCTTTGGATAGGCAAGCCCAAGGCTCAATGGTTTACACCACAGCGCCACCATTATCTTTCCACTTAGAGCTCATCTAATTATGCAGAGCCTGCTAATAATCCAGGAGGAACCGCTCCCCCCCCCCAGCTAGACAATCAAAGATCCAGTGGCAAAGTAAACAAAGAATGTAAACAAAGAACTGGAAAGCACTTCTTTCTTCCCTCACAATCACCCCCACCAATGGAAAAAAGATGGGGAACAGTACTTATTTTTATTTTCTGGTGCTGTTTATGTTGTTGGTTCCCCCTAAATAGCTTTCCTCTGTATCAAAAAGGTCTTTTTATTTAAAGGAGGCTATCTTTTTGCTTGCTTGCCCTCCCTTCCTTTGATAAAAAGGGAGAGGATGGTAAGATGAGGGCTGGGGGGGGGCTTCTGAGGGGGGGATGGAGAGAAGAAGATTTAGCTGGTTGCCTTATGCTGCAATGGCAGCTTGGGTAGTATGTGAGAATGATGGGGAGGATGTTTTTCGGTAAGCAGTGCAAGCAAATGTGTGTCTACTCACAAGCAAGCCCTACTGAATTCAATGAGGCTGACTCCCAGAAAAGTATATAGTTTAACTCAGTGGGGCTTATCCACGCACAGATTCCACTTAGACCACTGAGTGGGGAAGCAGATGCAACTTGACTAGTAAATCACTTAAACTACTCCTAAATTAGTTAGAAATATATTAAATATACTATATGGAAGTTTATTTAATATTTTTATTAAATCTACTACTTCCATATGTTTTAAGGTTCTCTACCACAGCAGGGAGGCATGGCAAGGCCCTCTGCTGCTTTGGGGAAGCATGGCATACCCCCTGCCACTACAGGGAGGTACAGCAGGAACCTCTGGGGGCACAGAAAATCCCTCTGCTGCTGCAGGGAAGCACAGCGCACCCTCCGCCGCTGTGGGGAGGTACAGCAGGAAAGTTTCATCCTACTCCATCTCTCCATATTTTGTTTAATCTTGCTCCACGCAAGCACATAATTGTTCTGGAACAGATTAGCACTGTTATTTGTTATCCAAATACCTAAATATTTCACCTTCTTCTCCACCTTAATACCTGACAAGGTGTCTTTAAAAGACACCTGAAGCAACTGATGGCAGAAGGAAGAGCACTCTTCTATACAGGAGCAACTTCCTCTTTCTTTGCACATGCACACCATACAGAAAATAGTACAACAGGTATCCACAAACATAGGAAGCTGTCTTACACCAAGCCACAACTTGGGTCCATCTAGCTAAGCATAGTTTACACTGACTGGCATCAGGGATTGAATGTGCAGCCTTCTGCATGCAAAGCAGTTGCCCTGCCAATAAGCTGCAGCCCTTCATGAAAACATATGAAGGCATTTTGGCTTCAAAATACATATGTGCTGAGACTCAAGTTGAAGGAGACTCAGAAGTTCAATTTAGTTTCAAGAAGAACGATTTCCCTCCTACTGAAGCACAGGAAGCAAGGGCTAAATTAGGAACACAGGAAATTAGGAACACTCTGTCAGCTCCTTGGCCCATCTACCTCAGTACTTCCAACTGTTGCTGTTTGTTAGGGAGCTAGGGACGAGTGGACCTTTTTAT